AGCTCAGCCCACCAGGGGGCGGGGCTGGCTGGCATGTGGTGCTGGGGGATTGAACCGCGGTCCCTGATGCTTTGCTAAGCTTGTTCTAAGTAGGTGCTCTAGACCACTGAGCCATCTCTCCAGCCCCTGGATCTGATTTAGGAATCAGAAGAAATGTATAATTTTCTAAAGCAAGTGGTAAATCCTATAGCCCTTTCTGATTCCACAAGGCATTTTTGACAGGTAAGCATAGTTTCAAAAGCTCAAAGAGCACGAAGATTTCTTTGGTGTGGATGCTCTAAATAGCTCCTATAGCTGTGAAAGAAGTATAATGAGCTCTAATTGCACTTTTATTGAGTTTGCTGACATTTATGTGTAGCACAAAGGACTCATCACAGTTAGACAGTTACTGTCTTCATTATCTGTGTGTTCAGATTTCTAAAACTTTACATTTGCTGAGCAAGAAATAGCTGCTAATCACAGATCAATTAGTGATGGGCAAATGAATTTTCAAAATACAATCACCCTCTAAAACGCTTACCAATCTGGAGACTCTAATAAAAATAAAAAAAATAAAATAAAATAAAAACCTCTATAGTGAGACCACAATTGTTAAACTGCTCTTAGAACACCCCTGCACTTTCAGATTTTCCTGAATGGGAATCCTTCACCTGTGCCTTCCTTTACCCGCCCTTTCAGTTGGCTCTGATGGAAGCAACCGCTTCTCACACAGCCATGCAAACTCACAGCATTGGCTTTCCCTCCCGTGTGCTTCTTTTATACCAGATTGTAAAAGAAAAAACAAAAAAAAATCTAATTTTAGATAAACAATAAAATATCAGTGATCCTAAGACGAGCACATTGAAATACCCTGCTGTCAACAGAATCCAACCTGTTTGCTATTATTCCAGTGCAGAAAATTGAGTGATGATATAAGGACATTTGAGGAGGTACAGATTTGGAATATTCACATGAGCTCAAGCATCGTCATGCTTTCATTCTGTGTGCCAGCTATATGCTAATCTGTATACCATCGAACTCTTAATCCTCTGTAGCGGTGCAGTAGAAAGTGCCAGCTGTGCAGGATTTACAGACAGTTGTTGAAGGTAGTTGCACAGTGAGTGACAGGAGAAGCACTGAGATTGCCTCTGGTTCTGTGCATGGGGCCTAGTGGCTGAGCCAGTATTGACTATGATGTCGTGCTTCTTGTTGCAAGGAGGTTTGTTTTTACCATAAACATGGCATATAAATGCTTCCTGCTTTAACTTTCCTACCTTACCAATGAGGGTCCTGAAAGCCTAGAATCCAGAAATGCTGTTTAAGAACACTGTCTTTTTTCTCAGGCACTCCAAAATCTCCAGTATTCATGCATCAGGTTCAGAGGTAACAAGAGGAAAGATACCTAAGTATTATTCAGGGTAGATGGAGACCTGAAAAGCCTTCATTAAAAATAGAAATCGTGGGGTGTTTCCAAATTCAGTCACTTTCTGATTTAGTGGAAAATGAAAAAATAATTTTGAAATTCAAAGTGGAGGGACTCACAGATATGAAGGCAGTAATGAAATGCCATATGTTAGCACTAACACATTGAAAAGTTGTTAATTAATTCAGTCACTCCCAAATCCAGGTGTGACTTTGACAGATTGTATACCAGGGTGTTAGTATAGACTTACAATTAAGGATATTTTAAAAAGAAGTTTCTATTATTTTAGTTTTAAAAAGTCACCCTTTATACTTAAAATATTAACCTCTTCTTATACCATAAAAGGAGAACTTGAAGTGGCCCCTAGCGTAGAGCTCCTTGGTTCTGTTGAGGCTATTGTTGATAGAGAGCCCAGTTCTTGTGCATCTTTTCTCCTAGAGGGCAACAGCCTTAACTTTTAGCTTTTTTAAAAAAAATTCCCCTAAAGCACCTAGCAGACTACTACCAGTACACAGATTCTGGTTAAGCAATTGACATTTTCATAGATTGAAAAAAGAATTATTACTTATTACTGCCAATGAATACTGAAGAAAGACTAGCATAGTCATCAAAAAGTGATGAAAATTACATGAGTTCAAGATATTTAGATTTACTTAGAATGTTCACAAAATTTTATGGTTCTTTAGAACAAGAATCCTGGGAATAAACTTTATGAATAAATTTTTCCCGGGCAGTGTGCAAAGCTCAGAGCAGAAGAGAGCAGGGTGTGTGTAATCACCCTCAGTGTTGCCCTTCATGTGAAAGCTGCTGGCCCACCTTGGCTAGTAAAAAGCTAAAATGTCCAGCCTCCTGTATGCCTACACATGTACATGAGTCAACAGGGGGACAGGAAGAAATTAGCATTTCAAATATTATTGATTTGTTTTCTTTTCTTTTTGCTCTGGCTAATCCTTATTATTTTCCAAAATGTGAATTATCTTCCTTCTCTCTGCCAGGCTGAGTTTATCCTTCTTGATGACTGGGAAGGCAGGATTTCCTCATAAGTGATAACCGTTTTCTTAATATCCATCTTAGGGGGGAAAAATCAGTTTTTAACTGACTCAGGAGGTATATATTTAATTTACTGTAGCATTACCATGGAGCTCAAAACCTGTGAATTGTTTTAGCTTAATAACATAATTATGGGTTTACCAGTGAAATCAGGGACCAAGTGGGAATTTTTCATTTGCTTTTATTTAAGAGAACTAAAACCAGTTTCTTTGAGGTAAGAATAAATATAATAGGAATTTTATGATTATTATTATTATTCTCATAAAGATGCCAGTCAGAATTTCTAGATGGAAGATGAGAAGGAAGAAAGAGTAAGAACTGCAAACTGGAAGACTTCCCCACCTCTTCTGCCTCACTCAGTCAGGTCCATTCATTTCCCTCTCGCGGTCTCGTTCAAGTAAAATACCGCATCCTCACACCAAAACATGTGAAGGAGGCCAGGCATCCTAGGTAGCCTCTGTTCATCCTAGTGTTGGGGACTACAGTAAAGAAAGCCCCTGGCCAGGGCTTCTGAAACTTCTTCCCTCCCACTGCCAGTCTATCCAGCTCCTGACCGTGCTTCTTAAGGCCAACATCTGGGCTCTAAAATGAGCCCTAGAGCCTCTCTGCATGATCTCGGGAGCTGTTAGTGTGTAGACAGACTGAGGGGAAGGGATTCTGCACACCACTCCAGCAAAGCCCACCCCCAGTGCTTCAGTGGACAGAAGCACAGAGCTGGGTCGCCTTCTCTGCAGTGTTAGGGAGAGAAAGAAAAGAGAAAGGAATGTAAACACTCATGATAACAATGAAAAAAAAAAAAAAAAAAAGGAGGTCTAGGAGTCAGATAGCTCTCCAGGGTCACACATCAAATCAATAGCAGCACTGGACTAGAAGCAGACCATGTCACTGATGCTGCTCTCTCCCTTTTAAGCCTCCTCTGTGTCTTCTAAGTGGACGTGAAACACAGCAGACAGGAGAGAACAGTGCAAGCAGGAAGTCAGATGTGGCCCAGTTTAGACCATAACTTTGCTGAATGATCTAGATAAATCCTCTCGCCAAGGCCTCAGATAGAATAGTTTTACAGGTAGAATGGTTCTGATATCTCTTCTTTCCAGTCTGGAATTCTGGAGCAGGACATTTAGCTGATTCAGTTCTTCAAAGCTGTGCTGCCCAATCTAGTAGTTATCTGGAACTTTTAAAACTTAACTAAAATGAAATTACATTGAAAAATCAATTCCTCCATCACATTAGCTCTTTAAAAGTGTTTGGCAGCCACACATGACTTTAACTGTATGTTGACAGCATAGACATAGGATTCTTCCAAGGCTGGAAGAGCTACTGGTAGATTAAGTGAAAACGAGACATTATCCAAAGAAGTGCTAAAGGAAACAGAAGTAAAGGGATAGGATTACAATACAGGCTCAGAAGAAAGGTTTATACACAGTGACTTGTGGAACAGCCTCTCCCCTGAACCAGGGCTCTGTATCTCTGGAGCAGCTGGCTCTCCTTTTTATTTTATTTAATTCTAAGACTGTTAAAATGAAGTAAAGGTGGAGGGAGGGCTTTTCCCTATAAGTATGTATGATGTCCTTTTTTAAAAAAAATAAAGTCTTTTTTTAAAAGGCTCTTAAAAAAGAAAAGAAAAAACCACTTCAAGCACTGTCCTGAAATCAGTTATAACCTTGCCTTGTGTAGGCTAAATGTAGGTCATGTATTCTAAGCATGGAAATTTTGAGGAAAATCTCACAGGTCATCAAAAGTAAACTTGCTCTATCTTTCCACTTGTTAGATTCCAATTTACAAATCTTCTTGTTATAATACTGAAAAGATATCTCTTTCCCTCATGTATCCAACCTTCAGGTTGCTGGAGTTGTACCACTCTCTCCTGAAAAGCCTGCAGCCGGGGGGAGGGGGGGGAGTGATTCTCCAGTAGCACAGCCAGCTTCTCAGCATAGCTTTGGTTTCCTCTGCAGTTGTAACTAGCCTGGCTGCTTAGAACCAGGAGTAGATCCTAGTTAGGGACCTACTTAGGAACCTAACTAGTGTCTCACAGCCACCGCCTCTGGAATAAGGACTATACCAGCTCTCCAGAGAAATGGGACTCTGATCTCCTGTTCTTATCTACTTGAAACAGGGAGAGAAAGATGTTTTCCTCCCTTGGATGCTTTGTTTAATGTTGCATTTACTGTTTTACTATATCTGCTCCTATTGCTTTTTCTCTTCTGTCTTTCTCTTTCCTTGTCACTAGAGTTAAAAGAACATCTAAAAAAAGCCCAAATTAAAATATATATTAAAAATGTTTCTGTGAAATAATAGTGTTTGGCAATTACATAAGTATTTTATAACCTTAATACCTACTGCTAATTTCTGAATGGAAAAAATATTTCACAATGTTCTGTGTCCTATGAATGCTTCCCATTGGTCCAAAGTTGCTCAAAGAGAGAGGATGTGTTCAGGAAGTGCAGGGAAGAGGGAGCTGTAGGAGGGGGCATGGAGCAGGAAGGCAGACTGGAGACCATTCTGGTTCACATGGTGGGGGCTGGTTTGATGGCATAATAAAGTGTTGATTACAAGGAAAAAAGATGAAATGCCCTTTTCTCATTCATTATTTTTACCTCCTAGCTGTGGAAGACAGAAAATTGTTCATAGGAATGGTTTCAAAGAAATGTAACGAGAATGATATCAGAGTGATGTTTTCACCATTTGGCCAGATAGAAGAATGCCGGATTCTCCGGGGACCTGATGGGCTGAGTCGAGGTGAGTGTGGTGTGTGTAAAGTCTCTTTCCTTAAGTGCTAATTAGAGCTCTGTGTCATAGTCAAGGTAGATGTAGGCACCACGTGCAGCAGGAGATCGCCCTAAAGAGTCCCGTGTGGTAAAGTTGTCCATCCTGAACTTTCCACTGGTAGCTGAAATGATCGCCTTTTATTTCCCAGGTTGAGAAGGCCTGGGGACCAACATATTAGCTCAGATATCACTGTCACACAGGAAGCTGCCAGGCTGTCCTATCACTACATGCCCCTTTCCAACCTCAGACCGAAGAGGATGAGGGCGAGCAGGAGCTGTGTGGGATGAGTAGATGTCTGCTGTGTCTGCCTTAGCCCCTGCCTTGGTGCTGTGCCTGCAAGCGTCATCACGGGGATGGTGCGCTCCACAAGCCGTCCGTGCCAAGAAACTGGCTTTGCGCCTGTGCAGTGCTGGGCACACCCGAGCTCAGGATGTCTCAGCCTGTCCAAGATCTTAGCCCTTTCTTTCAAAGAGGGAAGCTTCTGGAGTCCCAGCTCAGGGAATCCCTCTTAGGTAATAGCAAACTGCCTGTGGTTCTTCCTTGCCACCGTGATAAAGCCGGAAGCTGTGGCTCAGCTGTAATATGTGTTCTTCTCAGCAGGGATGCAGAACAACGGGAGATCACCCTTCCCTGCTGTTTGCTTTCCCCATAGCAAGTCAGCCCACCTCTTTCCTTCCACATCTCAGCAAGGTGGGCCCTGAGAGGTAGTCATTCAGCCACAGTTTCTAGAGCCAGTCCCCAGTGGAGATGGATATGTGGAGCATTTGGCACTTCTTACTAGAAATCCTGTTTTTGCAACAGGGAAAGGCTTTTGTTCTATTATTAGTGCAATGACCAGTGGGGCTAATTAGGATCTTGTTCATTCTTACACCCTGAGCCTGGGCCAGCCCTAGCCCCCAAGCCACACTCAGAGAAAAAGTCAGGCCGTAAGTAATTAGGCTCTTATTCTCACCTGTCTCGCTACTTTTACCTAACTTCAGCATCATGTGAGGAAGAACATTTGTTGTTTTGATTTTTATACATAAAGCTTCAGGATGTCAGCTGCTAAAATTAAAGAGAACAAATGTTCCTCCTACAACCACCTCCAGAGCCCCAAAGTGGAGGTAGTCTAGAGGAAAAACAAGAGGAGGTGGAGGAGCATCCTGCTTGATTCCTATATTTTCTTCTAAAGGTGGGGGAGAGAAAGAAGGGCAGCATGGAAATAACAGTTTCTACATCTCTAAAACATTCTGAAATCCTTATTTCATCCTCACTTCAAAAATGTGATTCTCTACAAGCTGAACAAAAGTCGCATCACCTGAGGCTCATCTGTAGCTCAGCACCTGTGCTGCATCCCACTGCTGCCCCAACAGTCCATGGTTGTGATGAGCCCAGCCTCCAGGTGGAAGGATGGCAGGGCACCGCTGTAGCCGGCTCAGCCCGCAGACCCTCTGATCACACTTGACCGTCCAGCTCCACTGCACTCATTTCATTTGTCTAATTATTTTCATCAATCCACTGAGGCAGACACACTAGGAGAGAGAATACCATGGAAAAGTCAGTGAGGCTAAAAGGGCAAAACACATAGAAAAAATATAGCCATATTTTTGTAATTCCCTATCTGCTGCCAGCTTGACTGGATCCCTGTTGTCTCCTATTATTCTCAGGCCCACGTCAGTGTTATCTTGCATTTTTCACTCCCCAAGGTATAGAGTATGGAGGGCACACCAAAAGGAAGGCCCTTAAGTTAAGCATAGTGAAATTTATAGTGGCTTAGAGGTCAGGGACCCCAAGTTCCAGTTCTAGCATGTCGGTGACCTTAGGCAGTTCATCTTCCTATCTCTTTTAGTTTACCCGTTTTTAAATAACAGTAGTAAAAATATCTGCCCTGTTTTTACTCCAGGGAGTCATTAATTAGTAGTGTGTGGTAGCTTTTTGTCTAAGCTTACCATCTGTACAGGTTAATAGAGACTTCGAATGGAAAGTGTGAGTGCCAGATTCCTGCTCTCTGTCAGCTTCTCCTGGTCCATTTATGGAATGGCTTTTCATCTCACTGTCTCTGTCTGTCCAGGGGCACAGGAGCAAGTAGCAGCACCGCCCTGCACTTCAAGCTGCTGGAGCATACGTTAGTTATCTCTGTACATGAGATTATAAAACATCCACAACTTTCATGGCAAATAGTAGGGCTCACAGCCCTTTCCAGGAGAACTTGAGCTAATTTGATCTGCCATTTGGTTGATTAACTAGCACTTGACACCAGAAGCAGCCTGTTCCTGAAACAAGTTATGGGAGCCCTCTCATCAATATTTTATGCAAATACTGCTTCAACATGAAGAGGAGAATACCCCTCTCCTTTTTTTAAACAGAGGAGTAATTTCTGGTGAACTGATGAGAATGCCCTATTAGAAAAAAGAAAATACTCATTTATAGCCATTTATTCTGAATATAAAGACAAACAGTGGTATGTTTTTCAATTAGCAAGACCCAAGGAATCCTGGTTATCAAGGCCTGCTCCTGAATCAGTGCATTTGTTAATAGAACAATTGTCTTTCATGCTACTATTCTGCTTTCATTAAAGAATTATTGTTTTCAATCAAATATTAATAAGTGTCTCCTATGAGTGATGCTGCAGATAAAGAGCGTTCAACACTTCTTTTCTCAGTGTCTATTGCTAGGCTCAGCTGTTCAGAAAATAAATAAATAAATAAAAAATGAAACAAAAGCTTGGCTGTTCTAAAAAGTATCTCCTAATACAAATCCAGCATATAAACTAATCACTAAAAAAGTTCCTAAATCGAACCATCTGATTATAGTGAGAGTGAAATGCAGTGCAATGGTACACTTTTCTTTTTTCTTCTTTTGTCCAGTTTAACTGTGAGAATGAAGACCAGCAAAGCAGTCAGTCTAGCTGGCTGTTCCTTTGCTCCGTCAGGGGCTTCGATTCTTCTCTGAGAGCTCCTTGCTCCTGCTGCTGAGTTTGTGCCCTCAGTTCCCCCATGGCACCCGCATGGTAGGCACTCAGGACCCATAACCGTACCTATGTACTCTGTGACCCTTTCAGTTAGAGTCACTGTCTTTAAAAAGTAAAAGTTATGGCCTGCATATTGACCACATGGAATATTTTACAAGTCCCTCCACCACTCACCAGCACGACACATTTTAGGAAAGACACCCTCGGGAAGCTGGCATGATTCTTTACCTGGACAACACCTCATACCTGCCAAGCCCATGAAGCCACTCAGCAAACAAGGAGGACTCTTCCTCACTCCAGCCAGTATACCCACATCTAAGTGTACATTTACCCCCTGGAGATAGTAGCCCACTCCAGTATCTTTTTTGGAAAACGTGATTTTTGATGCTTTAGGCAGCTTCATGATACTCAGGCCATTCTGCAGTGGTAACTCTATGGCTGAATGCCCCTTACCATGGACCTTCAGTGATTAAACGAGCACAATACTCTGGCCCCACCTGTGGCAACGCAATGAGATGCTCACTGTTGGAGGCAGAGCAGAGGCAGAGCATGAGGTTTCTAAACTAAATGTATTTCTTTGACAGTGTCACCTTAGCATGGTGATTTCCTAAAATATACATGTTCTCACTTACCCAGATGTTGCAGTTTAGAATGAGCTATTTAGATACAACCCACAGAGTTTTCTGCACCATGGCAGTTGAATATCTGTAACTTGGAAACAATAACGTTTACTTCATTTTTCTTTCCCACAAAATATAGTCAAATCTTCACCACCATTTAAGGAAACTCTCTTCTTGTTTAAGAGTATTCCAGCTGTGTTTATGGTGTTCAGCATTCTCCTGCCAAAACCGTTGACAGATGAATTGGCAATATTTTCAGTGATGCTGGAAAGCACAGACTGGATTCAGCCATTAAATCTTCATTTGTTTTTGCTGTATAAGGAGAAAATTTAGTTTGATAACAATTTAGCCCTGCCTTCATACCTAAACTTTCAGATACGTGGAAGCTTTTTTATCACATACATCCTGCATTACTCGCTGCATTTGCCATCTTTTCTAAATACATTCTCCTGATCTCATTAGTGATAAGATTTTGGCAGCTGTTACACAGGTCCTTGTCTGAATCCAGCAGCAGGTGCCATACAATGAATTATGTCTCCATGCCAATATGAAATAAACTATTGGGCACTGAGGCTGGAACATCAGAAGACTAATTTTAATGTCCCAGGACGATACTGATACCATCTATCTGATCAGTCTGGCACTACTAAAAAGACATCGCAGTACAATTGGCTGCACTACTATCTTTGTTTGGCCAATAAAAATTTATAAACAAGTGTTCCATAGGTTGAAATCTCCTTTACTTGCACAAGTTATTTTAAATTATGTTAGTTTCTAATGAAAGGTAGTGGGCTGCTGCACCTCTTTCATAAAAGTAGCAGAGAAACAAGAGGCCACAGCGTTGTCCTGGCTTTTAGGAGTACCTGTACTTCTTCCCCTTTTGGTGTGGAGCAAAGATTCATCTACTTCTGTAAAATTCTCTTGCAATTGAGAGGAAAGTAGAGCACCTGAGCTAAGATACCCTTTCACTTGAAATGACAAGTGTTATAGATGTGTTCCAAAATCTTCTCTGTGACAGGGGTACATGCCTTCCTTAGATCCTGTCTGTGGGAGGAAATTGCTTTGCAAAAACCTTTCCCCAGTCAATCATCCATCTGTTTTAGCAGCAAGAAGGCAACCTCCCTGGAATAAGAGGATCTCAACTCCTTTCATCTCAGTATGTAATCTGACATTCTGAAAGTAGAGATAATAATTAATTGCAAGGTAAATTACAGATTAACCATGTTTACAGATGGCCCTCCTTCCTCATTGTTTTTATCTTTTGCTGTTATGTATTTGGAGGGTTTTAGGTAGAAATACACATATATCTGCTATCATACCTAAACCAAAGAAGAATGCAGCATCATTATTTTAATGTTTACAGAGAGAGAGAGAGAGAGAGAGAGAGAGAGAGAGACTGACTGATTCCCCCAACATCTTGGTCAGTTGAAAAACAGATTGCTGAGATATCACATTCAACAGTCCACAGTAGTTAAAAGCTGACACTACAAGATTAGAGCTGTGTCTGTCAAGACCCAGTGAACTCAACTGCACACTAAAGCTCATTTTTAGTAAAAGAAGAAACCAATTCTGATGTAAGTTATTTCTGTGTAGTGGAAAGCCTTCTAGTTGGCTGGTGAGAAAAAGCCAGCCACCCGTTTCAATGGTAGAAGCTCCTGTGAGTCTATACTAGTAAAAAGCCACAGATTGGAGGTCTAATCCTGAAGCCACCACTGTGTTTGCACTGGTATTAAAGATTACAGTCTGTCCAGAGGACTGGCACAACCTCCTGTTTTAGAGAAATTACAAAGGTTAACAAGTTACTCTTCCAAGAAACATTTGGTTCTGGAGTTGCTTAACTTCATACAGAGTGGCATAGAGAGTGAAAGTTTTTTACAAGTACTCCCACTTTATAAATGACTCAGTAATCCTTTCCTCTTAAGTGACTGAACACAGTACACAGTACAGAACTTGACAGAAGCCCCTAAAGAGACAACTTATCTCATACTGCACCACTGCCAAAAGAATTAAAAGGTTAAAGAAATCATCAAACTTGTCAGAACATTTTTGGATGAGGTAGATTGTGTAATTAGATGCATCACTTGAGTTTTTAATTGCAGGTTTCATAGAGGAAAGGGCAATGGTTTGAGTTTATACAGACTTAATTTTATATACTTCTGCTAATACTCTTCTCCTGAGACTTGCTAACTGCTTTATCTTTCTGAGTTATTTATAAAAGTTGTTAATATGAAATTATAAATATATAAACTGTATCTATTTGATTCTTATTGATATTTTACATATTTTAATGCATTTTAACCTCTATTTGGAAACTGTCAGTTGGGCACATATTCCTGGATAATAGGAACAAATGTAGTGAATGTAACAATCTTTTTGACTATGGAAAGCAGAATTAAACCAGGCTTCACATGGTTTTAGATATATCTTCATTAGCTGCTTTGCTGTTGCCTCCATTGAAGTCTAAAGGCAAGAAATAGAAAAATAAAATAGTTCACTGTTTTTTTGTTCTACTTAACATTGGCAAGAATTGTAACATTTCTGAAGAGATATTGCTTTGAAACAGATGGCAGATTTGAGCCTCTATCACTTAAGACCTCAGCATCAGCGTGGAAGTCACCAGAGGTGCTGTCATCTGTCTCACACTCGATTACACACATCGCCAAGATGCCTTAGAGAAGGCCACTACATTGCTTTTATTGATGACAAAAGCTACAGTTGGTCTACGTACAGGTAGAATGCTTAAATAGCAAAGCCTCATCAGCCACCCGTCTGTGGCTGTATGTGAAATGGATCAACATTCCCGGCAGGCTAGACTATTCAGGCTTCTAAAGCTCAGCTTAACTGGTGAAGGTGAATGTGACATTAATTTCCCATGTGCAGAGAGTTTTGTATATCGGAATTACAGCATGATGGAAAAGCCAAAAAAAAAATGCATTGACTTATTTTCATGACTGGATGTCACTGTGCGTTGGGGGTAGTGGGTAGGCACTGCTTTCTCTTATTGCTGTTTGATTAAAAAGTGCTACTACAGTATTGACTTGATAATCTCACCAGATACACATGCAGAGAAAAAGAAGAAAATGTATTTTATGGCTCACAAATTGATTTACATAAACCAAACAATCTGCTGATTGTTTGAATGGAGAAGGTTCTGTTTTGTTTATTGGCCACAGGGACAACAATCTCATGTTGTTGATGCCAGAATTCTGCTTTCATGCATTCACTCTGAAATGACAATAGGCTTCTGCCTCTCAGTGTTTAGCTCTGCTTCATTTGGAAATCTTTTAAGTAGTAATAATAATAATGTTTTGAGGAAATTGAGTGGAACACTAAATTATTCTCTGATACCTAAGTTCAAACTGTGCAAGGCTAAAGAAGCTGAAAATCAATGCACTTTTGAAGTCATTAGAGATCATAAGTGAACTAAGTCTGCTTGCTTTAGCTAAGCTTTTAGCGTGCTGCGGTATTATTATGAAATCAGCCCGAATCTGCATTAATTTCACAGTCTTTTTCTCTAAGAAGCCCAAGGGTGCGTGATGAATAAAATGTAAATTTCCAAAGGCAGTGTTTTTATTAGTGCAACAGGGCAATGAGCCGTGTTTTTGGAGCAGCAACCTGCACGGTGGCCAGTGCTGCTATGAGAGGCAAAACCTTGCACTATAGATTCTAGTTATTTTATAGTACACATGAAAAAGTAAATATGGAAAGCTTTCTGGTCTTACAGTAGGTATTTGGAAAAGTGACTACTGCCTCATGTATGGAAGGCTCCAGACCAAGTACTTCATACATTTCAGAAAGTCACAATTATGAAAAGTGATCAGGATTTATATACAAATTCAATAAAAATTTCCAGATATTATATGTGTTGTCAAATATTCTCAGAGTAATAAAGCATTCGTTTTTATTAACAACTAGTAATTAATAGTTTGTAGTGGATTTTGGTATATTTGTTTACATTTGAATAGCACTATAAACTTAAACGTATAGTTTTTTTCGCTACCCTAAAGGAAATTAGATACATGTATTTGCTGGCATTTTAAGCTGCTGAAAACTGTTAATCTGCCATTAGGGTGAAGATTTTCTTAGTCCTTAAAAATCAACAACAAAAAGTGAAATACAAAGCCCTGATACGTGTATGCCCTCCGTGTAGAGATCATCAGCCAAGAAGAAAATGGAAAAAGCAACTTTTTATTTTAGAAAATGCAAGGTAGATCCTGCTAATTTCAAACCCTGTGGCTAAAAGTATCCAGCTTCCTCCCCTAGTTTCCATTTAAAGAATAAACCAATAAATAAGTCTTTCTGCTTTGGTCAGATTAGCAAGTCAGCACTGAATAAAAAGCAAAATAAGATAAAACCAAAGAGAGAAGTTGTTTATTTTTATGTACTACTGAGAACAGTGTCGTCTTGTGGCAGTTCTCGTAGACTGTGTTGGTTTAACAAGCGTCCAACCCTTTTGTCTTGTTGTTTTTTGTCTTTCCTGCTCCCTGTCCCCTTGTTTCCCACAGGCTGTGCGTTTGTCACATTTTCTACAAGGGCAATGGCACAGAATGCAATCAAAGCCATGCATCAGTCTCAGACCATGGAGGTACTGTATCATCTGCCCTTTCTTTGTTTTCTTTGTGCAAATGATGGGGAATGGTAAAGCAATTCTCTCCTGTGTGGATTGTTCACATGACAATCACAGATTTAAACTTTCACCATCTCACTTTTCATTCATTCATTCATATTCATCTTCTCTGTCTCTCCCCTCTCTCTTCCTCCCTCCCTCCCCCTGCCACCTCTTTCTCTGCATTTTCCCTTAATGACTTGAAATGCATTTAGTAAAATCTTTCACTTGTTCTGCAGTTATTTTTTTGAGCCTTTTATTAAAGCAGCACATGTCCTCTGCTATAAAGTCATAAGGCACTTTAAGCAAAGTGTCGTTCTGGACCTAACGGATTAAATACGTTCCCCACTGTAGGGTTGGTATTCATTAAACAGTAGCAGCTCCAACCCCAAATTGCTGCCTGCCCTGTAAGGAGCCATACTGACCTTTGTTTAATGCAGGGTCAAGTAGTTATTAATGCAGTCAGCAGGACTGTGTGCTTGTATCTCAGAAATGCTGGAGAAAGTTAAGACTTCTCCCACTTAACAGTTAAATGCTACTTTATGAGAGTCCCCTGAAAAACTAGAATTGTCTCCTTACTTAAAAATCAACAACAACATAAAGGCTCAAATTTGGTCCCCCAATGAGAGATGGTAACTTTAGGGAAAGAGAAATACACAGGTGTGGACATGCACCTACAAATATAGATAGATGGCTTTGTATTTTAGTCTGTGATTTGGGTCATGGCCTTTCAGAATTTTGCACAAAAGCATTCCAAGAGTGATATGCTGTTACTTATTCTGTACCGTCTGACAGAACCATTTGGAAGTGCATGTTCTGCTGTATTACGTACACTGTATCTTTGTGTATGGGTGATCTTCTCTGGAGGTGGTGGCCTTGTGGTGTTATCTGAAGCTATGTTTTCATATTTTGAAAAAAAGATATTTTCAGCTTTATTTAACATGCAAAAATTTATTGTTTGAGCTTTTTGCCTCCATTTTTGGGGATTTTATTTTTTGTTTGTTTGTTTTTGTTTTTTGCAATGCTGCCTCTCCCAAAGCATGCTGGGAGCTATGCGATCATATGCATTATGTTTTCTGGGCAACTTTTTTTAATAATGAATCAAAAGGGGGGTGGCAAGGGGGGAAGGAGTGTGCATGGCATTGTCATTAAGTGTTTACTGTACTTTTCTGAGTTGTGATATCAGCATTGCAAAGCCTACTGTCTTATGAATATTCATTTTGACTTTGATATTCCTAACATACCTTATATAATCAATGTGTTTTCCTTTCAGTGCAATGCATTTTTAAGACACTCCCATTTTTAACCCCCACCCCCCACCTGAAGGCAAGGTCAGGTGAAAATCAGCCATGACAGGAAATAAGTAGTAGGATTTGAAATATCTAGGAATGGAATTTTGTTCCACATGTAGTCATATATGTGATAATGTTTTGATTTCCCCTTTTTCTTAGGCTGCTCCATTTTTGTTAATTTCCAGCTATTTTTCAGTATGGAGATTAAAATCTAAGAACTGTTGGGGGGGAATCTGTATTTGTCTTCCATAAATGGTTTTATTCTTATTTTTTATTTCCTGTAATCGAGAGCTTTATGCCTAAATTGGTCTCTCTTTAGGTAATTTTTTAACTTAATTTCTTGCAACTATTAGGAATATACCCTCACTCAGAGTGTTCCCCGCAAGGCCTCCAAGGATGCTGGTGAAATCTGGTTCTCCTGCATTCCCTCAGGAGAGGAGATCAGGAGGCAGAAGGGGCATGACCAAAACCAGGAAGCACAGGTCTTCGTAATAGATCTGTTCTGGGGACTGGTGCATGTTTGTTCTTAAGAAATAATTGATCCTTTATTAATATCTCTAGTGTAAGAAATCAAATTTGGTTATTTTTAAAACTGGACATCCATACCTAAAGAAAGGAGCCTTCAGACAACTTACTCAAAAAATTGACACTTAAATAGAATTATACAATTACATTATAATTATACAGGTGAAATTGTGTGCTTGGCTTTTTAAACTGATTCCATTAATTTCAGGGTCTAGCACACATCTTCGGCCAAGCTGTATTCTCTAATTTAAAATGATCTGAATAGTAAAAGAATAAAGTCTTCAATCTTATAGAGAACTTTCTGCTTCTCCACTTTTTCTACTTTATTCCCACCTGTTTTTCTCTTTCATGATTTAAACAAGCCATTTTTAAAGCCATAATCATTGGTCAATTTTCTGCATTTATTTATTTATTTATTTATTTATTTTAGTATTTAAGAGAAAATAACAAATGTACTGTTAGGAGATGCTGTCGTTTGTTATGTAACACTTTTGATGTAATAATAACAACTCTCTCACAAACCCCTTCTATACATAATCTCAATCTTAAAAGTATTTTGCTCTTTTTAAAGTAATGGAGTGCTGAAATACAGGGTGGAAAAAGAAAAATGAATTATAGGGTTTTTAAATGGTAGAATCATTATTTTTATGCACTTGACTGACATTTAACATTCTCTACCGTGACTCTGCCTACCAGAGCTGAAGTTTCTTAGGCTAGAAATTTAATATTGAAGTAGTCATCTCACTTTCTTCACTTTTGAAAAAAATGACAGACATGATGATAGCATGTATTTGTATCTACCTCCCCAAATAACAACCAAAGGTGATAAAGACAAATATACAAGTTTATTTTCTAGAAGAAAGGAAAATTACCCAAAGGGAACGGAAGCAAACAGCATGGTTAAACAGTAATATAACACTTATGAGAGGAGAGGAGTCTATTATCATGCTGTTTCCATAAAAGTCTTTACTTAATCATGGGGTAGAATTACTTCATTCTACCTCAGCAAGATGAGACAGTTTGAATGGTGGTGAAACGAGCAGGCAAGTCACACTGGAAAGGAGAAAAGACTTGGAAGCCACTACCAAGCGGCAGATGTGGCAGACATGCTTAGGAAAGGATTGGGCTTGAGATCCTAGGCTGTTATTTTCCCTGAAGACTGCATCTACCTCAAAGATGAATTCATCCCTCTCTATGACTTGGCCTTTTCTTTGCACTACTCCCACTCGTTGCCTCTTAAAGGAAATTAAAACTCAAAGAATCCATTACAATGGTACGATAATTAGGTAAAGAAACTAAGTAGAATCCTCTTCTGCTATTTAACTGTACTCCACCTCCTTTGACTGGACTGTGCTTCTGGTTCCTTTAGCTTGCATAGTTCTGAGGACTTTGGATAGAGCAGATGTGCCATGGGAGGAAGAAGAAAGGCCTTCCTGAAACATGTAATTACAGCTTTGATCAGTGCCTATGTTTTCTGTCTCCTTCCTTCATCCACATTCCTAAAATGAAACCTACTTCTTGTTATTACTATTGAGTTAATGATTTCCACAGTTCCAAGCTTCAAAACTACAAAAAATTAGAAGTAGTAAAAGAATTAGAAATAATAAAAAGAGATAGAGAAACACTGTCATTCTAACTTCTCCCCTGACAAAGACAAGGCTGTCTTTAAGACATGGGAGCCATGAGGTCTAATTAAATAAAAGGTTTTGTCTTGAAGGAGTCCTGGAATGCTGAAGGAAGCCCCATGAAGAGAACAGATTAGGTAGTCTGAGTATCAGAGTAAGGAAGCAGGTGGTAGGAGCAAACACCAGATCCCCCCAAACAAGCCAATGATAGATCTGGAATTTTGTTTTGATGATACTATTCTGAGAAGAAGGAATATCAAACTATTCTTAAACCATTCCAGACCATTCCATGCGCTACAAGATAGTTAAATGGTCCAACGGCTGTCTGTCATGAGAGGATTCAACCAGGCTGTAACTTCCTCTTCACTTTCCAATATGTCTGACCACAGGGCTGCTCTTCACCTATTGTGGTGAAGTTTGCTGATACTCAGAAGGACAAAGAGCAAAGGCGCCTCCAGCAGCAGCTGGCACAGCAGATGCAACAGCTCAACACTGCCACCTGGGGGAACCTGACGGGGCTGGGTGGACTTACCCCACAGTACCTGGCGGTAAGTGCTAGAGAAAACCCTGCGTGGTGGCCTGGAACCCCTCAAAGTTATTTTTATACTGTGTGTGCCAAAGAACTCATTTTCCATACACTTTGACTCTCAAAAATTAATGAAATCAATATACACGCAGAATATTTTTGCAAGTTAAGTGATTAGCCTAAGACTCACTGATTTAATTCCTTTGTGAAGCAACATGAATAGTGTTCCACAGGCTAGACTTCAAACCAGTGTTGTGAGGCATCCACAAGCCCTGTGTTAGAAGGGACACCACATGCTGGAGAGCCAAATTAGCAAATAATACCGAGAGAGCTGACTGAGAACCTCTGGCTGGCAGTTCCGTGTGTGCCCTGGCTGGGTCTTAGCTAAAAATCTCGTCAGTGTTCTCTGAGCTTGGGTCTTCCCAATGGAATTGTGTTGATGAAATAAAATATTTCTTTACCTATATGCAACCAAAGTAATTAGATCCTATCTCAGGCCAAACAAACAATTCTTTGAACCATCCCTTCTATACTGTAGCTTTTAAGCCTCCACATTCTCATGTTTCCTTTGTATTATCCATTTCACTTTGGCCACTTTACTGATATAAGGTGGGCAGAACTTGTAAGATCAAAAAAGAGCAGAGTAGTGACCCCTAGTGTGGACTGTAAAACATTATACTGTACCTTAAAGCAGCATTTGTAGTAACCACCTCTGATGTGGGATAGAAGCAAATGAATGCTCTTGAATTCTTATTTTTACTTGAACTACTGCTAAACATGCTCCTCTACCCCACTTTCTCTATTTTAGAACCTAAATGCTGGACTTGACATTCATTAGTATTTCACATTGTGAGCGAAGCCTTCTATTCTAGCTGAGGGGGGGGAGGGGTCTTAAGCAAACACATATGTTGTGCCCTAATTCTGTCATTTTACATTTTAACTATCCCTCTGGGGATTACATCATCCACTACCTTCAGTTTGTAGCAGAAATTGTGCTGTTTTGTAAAATGTCTTCCCTGTTAACTCGGAAAGGGATTATCCTGCTTGTGGTACAGATGAGAGAAGGGAAGCTGAGATCAGGTATCTTTACATTTGTGCAGCTGGCAATGACAGAGTTTCAGCTGTGTATTTCTCTGCCACCTGGACGTGTTGCTTCTTAAGGAGTCGACCCAGCTCCCTCTTCTTCTGGTCATTATTCCATGTTATCCTTAAAGACACTCTAAGTGATTTTGTCAGGTGATTGCATATCTGTATCTACCTGTCTCAGCAGTTTAATGATACATACCAGAATTCTTACCAGAGTGACATCATGCCCAGCTTTTCAGTTTCTGAGTCCAGCTTCCTGCTTTATCATTTCTGAGAACCAAGACACATGTGCCTGCTCTCAGTATGCTGATGCATCTCCTGTGCACCACAGCGCGCAGAAATCGCTGGCGCCTGTTTCTGTGATCACATCTGCAAATTCTTTAATATTTGAGAGAGAATTAATCTCAGCCTTATTTATTAAAATATGTTTTTATAAGCTCAGACTGTGTTTTTTCCTGTCGTGGACATTAGTTCTTTCTTAGCCATGTCTGTCCTGCTCCTTTTACTTAACATTCTTTTCTCTGGAAAGGCTTTCAGCCATGAGGCCTTCCTTCCTTCTGTGCTGAGCCATATATTCTGAGCTGCCTGGTGAAAGGCTGTTATTCGTGGAATAGTCCTCAGTCATGGTTTTGTGGCACTCCCGGAAGTTCTACATACCTTAACAGATGGTACCTATTCCTCAGATTATCCTCAAGGCTAACTTTAAATTTTTTAAGGGCAGAATATATTTACTAGGGGAAAGAAAGCTTCTGTCAGAGAGAGATACAGAAGGAGTCCTGAGTGGGCTGCCAAGGACCCTGCCTTTTCTAGGGATTTTTTATAGAGCAAATCCTCGATGTGAACTGGGTTCAAGGCAGGGAAGAATGGAAAATTTTGAGGTGGGCATGAGGTGAGACAAAACTATGGTCAGCCAATAAGATTATAAGTACTATTCAGTAAAATTGATTAAATCAGGATCAAATGAGGAAGCAAGTCATGTAGCAAGCAGGCATGAATACAGAGTAGGTGCTCAATTTTAGTTTTTAAAAACATGGAATGTGAGGAAGAGGGGACCCATAAGCACATGAAAATGGTAAACTCATCAATTCAAACTAAAGTATTTCTCAATTAAAATGTATAAGCCCTAGGACTGGGGTGATAGCTCAGTGGAATAAGTGCTTGCCTGGCAAGCACAAAGTCCTGAGTTCGATCCCTGGTACCACCAAAAAAATTTAAATAAAATGTATAATCCCCAAGCCCTCCCACACCCTCCTCCTCTATGAATGATAGAGTGCATATGTATATGCACACACAGAATATCTGGGTACTATGTTCTGACAAGAGGACAGATAAACATTACAGACATCTTCCAGGTTTTAGTCCCATAATATCATTGTCCCAGAGACTTAGGTTTAGTCAGCCATTCTTGGTGTTTGTGTATCATTTGATCCATGCTTATTTTTTAGTCATATCCAATTACTGAGTTTTTCCTATTAAACTGAAGAGATCTGTACCTGCCTTCACAATGCCAGTATTCTACATTGTTTCACACAGCTCCACTTAAGTTCTGGAAGCTATTTCTAAAGTAGCGAATTCACCTTGTCCCTAAGTGCATGGTGACCTAACAATTTTTCAGTAATAAATTTTATAAAGGAAAAAAAATTTATAAAGCATTTTTTGGAATCTATGTATATTGGAATATATGAGATAATTACATGCTCCCCCCACATACAAACTATATCTGTATTGACCTGTCTTACCCAAAAATATGTCCTCTGTACACCTAGTCAAACATTTAGTTGAGCATTTAACTTTACCAAAGTTCAACAAGGGCAGGAGCACTTGTGAACAACTGCCTCATCCCTTTATCTTGAGACACCCTCTGATTCTATGTGGCAGGAAAAATCTTTTTAAAAGCTTCAGCAGAAAATGTATGCTTTTCCACAGGCATTTCACAAGGGTTTTTCTTTTTTCAAAGATTCTAAAATACTAATAATGCATAGGTGCCAACATATATAGCACCAGATAATTCCAAGTTTTGAAAAACAATGTCTCTTTCTCTGCCGATGAAGACCATCCTAAAATTGACTAACTATACTCAGTTTCATGGCTGAGACTATGATGGTATGACTATAAATAATAATATATGTCTGTAATTGTTGTGATAACTTAATGTTGGCCCAAGAGTTAGTGGGTCTAGGCATTTCTGGTGAAGGATTAAAAAAACTGAACTGTAAAGAAAAGCAGAAGAGAGACGGAAATGGACTTTGATTGGCAGAGATGAGTTATGGTAACTACCAGACTGCAGAGAGATATAATTAGTCACACTATGTTGGTTTCAATAGATTTAACACCTGGTTGTTAAAAAGAATAAATTGATTAATTGTTTTAAGGCAGCAGTGTTAGTGAGTTTCCCCAGTGTCTGTGTTTCTTAATAAAGATTAGACATTAATATGGATTTACAGCCCCAACTCTGGGGACCTTCAGTCTATCAATAGGCTGTGGCAGCCAGCTATATAAATGGAAGGGAATGGAATTTGCCCCCAGCTTAATGAGGAAGTTACTCTGTTCTCCTCTCCACATTGTTGTAACTTGCCACCTGTGTGTTCATTGCAGCTTCTGCAGCAGGCCACCTCCTCCAGCAACCTGGGTGCATTCAGTGGCATTCAGCAAATGGCTGGTAAGTCATGAAGCATGTCTTTCCTTCTGTGTGTTCTATGAATTTTATATGGTTGACAGGGCAAGGCAAATAATCAGGGAAAGAGTAAAGAGTAATTGCCAGACTTATTAGTGTTGTTTTAGGTGTTAAAATTGAAATCATCTGCTCTAAAATACATCTGCTTTTGCATAAAGGGGCTGAGAATATTACATACTATACTTTCTTGTAATTTGTAAGTCTAAAAAAAAAGGGAATGATTACTGGGTAATTACAAACCAGATTCCTATATTCAGGGCAGCTAAAATGATTGACATCCCTCTAAAATTTTAATAATAGGCACTCAATAAAAATGTTCTGACCTCCATAATGAAAGCCAGGTTTGGAGGCCTATGTTTGATAGTTTGTAGTCCCTTGATAATGACAGAAAATTAACAGGGTGTCTTTTTTACTTTAGTATACCAGTTGACAGAATTGTGCATCAGAAGCTTTTATGTGAAAGTATAAATCTTTGTTCCCAAGAAAATCAAAGTTTAACTGTATTTGAAAGGCAGCTCGTGGACTGATCCCTTTTTGTAATGAGCTGTACCAGTAGTTGCTGAGGTACGGTGATTAGTAAAAGGTCATTCGTACTGTGCCACCTCCGTGCTGATCACCCACCTTAACACAGAGTCAGGGGAGGCAGCTTGTGCAGGAAGTGAGAACACAGGTGCCCATTAACCTGCTGGGAGAACAGTCATAGCACTGTGTCCTTGTTAATACAAAAAGAGAGGGGGAGAAGGCCAGTGAAAACAGATTTTTGTCATATTAGGATGAGGACACCTTGAATCAATAAAATGAAAAGTGTGAAGAATAGAAACCAGATTTACCTATCACTATGAAAACCTTTTCTTCTACTTTTTTTAAATACATATGCTGTTAGTGTTTTGTTTTCGCTTTGAATGACTGTAGAACAACTTTTAGTGAAGCTCTGCTCATACGTGTTCTTTGGTCATCTGCCCAGCTGCCCACGGTTGCACACAGGCTAATGCTAACTGCTTGGCTGACCGTGTCTTGGCCCATGGTACTTACTGTACTGCTGAATGATTTACTGAGCTTCATGTCTGTAGGCACCACTAGTTTGTTCTGATGGAGTATACCTTTTGGGTTATTAGGGGAAAAAATGTATTTTGAAATGATGTTAAAATATTGCAGTATGTCTAAAAATAAGCTTGAGAAGCAAGTCTTAGAGCTAACAGTGACAGGGAAAGGTTATTTTTCATTTTATGAAAGGAACTGGTAAGACATTAGTAAAATATCCAAGTTCTTTTTTTTTTTTTTTTCTTTAATGGGCATCCCCCCACCTTATTGCAAGCTCTAAAATAAATGCTAAGATTCTCACATTTTCAGGCAGTAAGAGACACTCCCTATTCTGAAATTAGGGGCTTTCCTTACAGGAAGCCTCAGGCCTTTCCATTCCCCAAGTTGAATTATGTAGAAAAAGTCACTTAGTCCTGAGACTGCTGCCCAGAGTGTCTTCCTCAGTGGACAGCCTGGCCTGTCATTTTTCATTAGGATATGTGCACCTCTGCCGTGCCACCCACAGGTCAAGATATTAGCATTTACATGTTCTGTGTGCTCATTTGAAAACTAAGGATATCTGGGAGTCACCTTATAAGGTGCCATGGAGCAGGTGGCTAATTTAAAGGCATTCTATAAGTGCTCCAGGCTTTCCAAAGTATCCATTTCTTGAACCTTCAACATGGCAAATTTAGCTCTCTGCACAGGCTGGAAAGTCAAATGCTAAAGAGTCCATTACTTGCCATTATTTTGAATATTTACAGTATTCAAAATATAGGTGTCAAGACACTTAGTGATTTCTATCAAAGGTACTGTGTGTGTGTGTGTGTGTGTGTGTGTGTGTGTGTGTGTGTGTGTGTAATTAGGTCTTATCTTCCTAACTATAGCATTACAGTTGTGGTATTCCCACCCACCCCCATAAAGAAAAGTTATGTCAACTTTCTTACTCTTTTGTCTCACAATCAGGGCTTAATGTTTTTTCTTTGCCAGTTAACCTACTCCAGTGTCATGAAGTGATCATGGCAGTTGGTCAGAAGGGTTTGTTCTGTGACATCATCTTTCCCAGTTCTCCCCAGTGGGGGAGGCTGGGTCATCGTCCTTCCTTCCCCTCCTGTCTCTGGGCACTCCCTAGTCATTAGAGCATCAAGCTACAATCTGAGTTCCAAGCAATCATGGCCTCCTTTGGCACCCATACACTCAGCTTACAGTCCTTGGAAAGGTTCTTGTGGCTGTTTTTTAATTGATGAGTGAAGAAATTTATAAACTGGTATATGTAAAGACATATGTATATGTACTTTGGATGTATTTCCAAAATTAAATGCCAGGTTATTAAGAAATTTCACTTTCGCCTGTATAAACTAATATACATTAGTATATATACATACTAGTGTCAGTATCTTCATCGATGAGAAATTAAGGATTTGGAGATAGTTTGCATAATATAAACCATGTTACAGGTACATTGTATATAACGAAACAGTGGAAGTCACATAAAAACAGAATTAAGGGAATCTTAAGAGGTCACTTATCCCCAATCCTACCTAACGGTAAAATGCTTGTTGAGTGATTAATGTTGCAACATAGAGTGAGCATATACACAATTCCTATGTAATTTTCATGTATGACAGCAGCATATTAAACTGCACATATACAGTTGAAGTACTCCAGTTTGAATTACTATCACCAAAACAAGTGAAATATTTTAAAAACCAATAATATTTTAACTGTGAACAGTTCTCAAAACATGATGACCTATCCTTCAGAAGATTCAGGTTTATAGTTAAGTCTTAAAATGGCTCATTTATGTGACTAAAACATTTTCTGTTTTAGGAAAAAATAAAATAAAGCCAGAAAAAGAAATTTTAGATGAGAAGTTACTAAGTAGTTACATCAATAAAAAGAGATACCAACTATACTTTCTTTTCCCAGAAAAATCTTACCATTCTTCTTTTAAATTAAAAATATCTTCAAATGTATTTTATGATTTTTATAAAAGTAAGCCTTTGCTAAGTATGGAATTTAAAATCTAAAATGGATTAGAATCAAATTTTGATAAGCCAGATTCTTTAAATATACTTATTTTGCCCTTGGAAATTGACTATTTTCACTCTTAAAACTTAAAAAGTTGGCCATTTCTCAGTTAGTGATAGTATTTATTCAATGAATTTTTGAAACCTGAGAAATTTGGAGTCTGAATTTAGGCTAAGAGTCTGTATTTTCATTGAAAGAGAAAGAAAGAAGGAGAAAGTATGTGTTCAATCTTCAGTTTTTCTTTTCTTTTCTTTTTTTTTAACTTTCTTAAAGCTTTATTCCAGAGGGGCCCAGTTCTTGGCAGTTGCCTTCCTCATGGCAGCCAGCATGTTGCTCAGCTCCTCCTACTTCCTCTTGGTGAGGATGTGTGTCCCCACCCTTTTCTTGATGGACTTGAGGGCTTGCTTGTCCTTGAAGACCTTGAGCAGCTCCATGGCGCACCGCTGGTAGGGGTGAAGCCACACACCACCCGGGTCATGTCAGGCACAAACTTGGTGTGTTTGGTGAGGCATCCACAATGATGGTTGTGCCTTGGTTTGCTCACATTCTTAGTCACCTTGTGGCCCTTGTTGAAGCCTACAGCCATGGGATAGCGGATGGCCCTGGCTACTCTTCTTCAATGATTGCTCTAAATTTCTTTATAACAACTATTACATCTCCAAAGATCATGATAGAAAAATGAGAATAGTGTTTCACAAGTTTGTATCTTACCTAGCTCACTGTAATAATCATACAGTTATTCTCAAAGCACACCAAAGACAAAGCCACTACTTTGTTATTACATTATACTTAGGAAAATAGAAATATGGAAAATTTAAATAAGTTATGAGGCTACAGCACCAGAAAGTGGCAGATTATTATAGGGTAATTCCTTTAAAAATAGCTCACCAACAAAAGTATTCCAGATCCTACTTGCCTCCAAAAATTGGATTAGATAAGCCAAAAACAGTGTCAAAAGTTTATTTGAAAAGTGTGGGGTAAATAGGTATAGGAGAAACCAGATCTGCAGAGCAAATTTAGGCCAAAGAGAAAGGAGGGTAAAAGCAAAATAAAAGTACATGTGGCATGTACTGTCGTCGAAATTCATGTGTGACAGCTCTTTCCATGATGGCCAGTCTTCTTTTATACCATCCACATCTCACAAGTTCTCATGAGAGATCTATATATGGGGTCCTGGCACTGCCTTGGATCTTGTAGTTGACTGGTCTTGCTCAATTTCCCATTTAGCCGACATGCCCTATCTCCTTTATCAATATGGTTTATGGTACAGAACACTTAAATGCCACAATTTTGCGAGGTAGGGGCTATTGGTATCCCATTTTACACATGAGCAGCTGAGGCTTAGTTGACTAACAAAGCATCCGTAGTCACTCAGTAGGTGGGGATCCAAATTCTAAATTCAGTTCAGCCTAGTCCAAAATCTGAGTTTATACTTCAAAAGTGTTATGTGGCACCCACACCAAGTATATTTGCATGAATACAAGCTGCAGTGATTTGCCAAATGACAAGTCAGATCTTAGGAAGAGAGTCCCAAAATTGTTTAAAAAGAAATAGTTCAGAAAGTGACAGAAAACTACCTCCCTTCACTCCAGAAAATATCTTATTGAGTAGGTTATTCATTGTTCAGGGTTTTTTTTTTTTTCCTCGAATGAGAAATACTAATTAAACAAATTACAGATTTGGAGCTGTGAAGCGAAATTATCTATTATTTAATAGAGGAAACTCTTTTATTTAATTCTAATTTTCAGTAAACAAAGTAATTCTTTCACTCTCAGAATAACTGATCTAAATTTTTTAAATAATAATAAAACTATAGAATAAAATTATTTGATTAAAATAACACAAAAAGTTGTCCATTATAGATTTTAGACCTATTCCTTGAGAATGTTGTCTGTCACAAGTGGAGAAAAGGGAAGACATTTGCAAAAGCAATG